ATATGCAGACACAAACACACACACAGTCACTCTCTCACACACGTCATTCACATGCCGCCCTTCTCTGTTTGTGCCTCTGGAGAAACCTTGTCACAGCAAACAGCGAGAGGTGCTTTCGAAGCTTTGCAGGCTGAAATACGAGCCAACTAGCCAACTTTGAGCTTCTAGCCAACTAGAAGCTTCTCTTAAAAGTGGGAAAGAAAAAAAGGATGTTGCTGCATTGGCCGGGAATCGAACCCGGGCCTCCCGCGTGGCAGGCGAGAATTCTACCACTGAACCACCAATGCTGCATGGACGCAGCTCTCTGTGACGGGAACTTTTTTTTTCGACACGCGTACCTTCCTGTCCTTTTCCTGGACATCAGTCAGGAGGTCGTCTATCAGCTGCTTTCCTTCTCCTGTGTTCAAACGAGGCAGGAAGCTTTGGAGCAGATAACCAACAAGGTGCTGGTCTGACCAGGGATCCCCGACAAGTTTGGGTTCCTCGGGTGTTTGAGACGACCGCTCTGTAGAAACCCCCACCTGGACACAGAACGAGGGGACGACACGCTGTTTTCTGATACAGTGGTTGGTTACGTGTGTTCGTACACCCACCTGCTCCAGCATGCAGTGCAGGATCAGAGGCACGGAGCAGGCTTCAGGGGGAACCAGGTCCAGCAGGCTGCTGTAGTAACTCATGTCCACATTAACAGAGGGAGGAGGCAGTTTGGTGTCTGAACACAGAAAGACAAACTCAGACGTTTCATCCCATCAGTCTTTAAAGCACAAATAAACAATAATGTTAGTGAGTAGTGGTTTAACCTTGTTCTTTAACAGACTTCTTTTTAGAGCGTGGAGTCTGAGGAACAGACCGCACAACCTGAAGAGAAGCACAAATAAAGGAATGCATCACGGCTGCCACTGAGGTTGTTACAGTCAAAACTTAAAACAACGTGTTGTTGTCATGCGATCACGTAAACTCTCAAGCTCAGTAGTGATGTTCGATACTGCCGAGTTTCTTTCCGATACTGATACCAAGTAAAATTTGCCTGTATCTGCGATCTGATCCAATACTGATACTTTGTGATAACACACATAATGTGTCTAGTAAATCTTAAAAAGTAGCTTTTTTTTCAAATAACCACTTTATAAATAAAACACGACATAGTAATATATTTATTAATTTAAAAGTCTTTCTAACCCTAATCCTATATTTGTTTAGCACAATTTTAAATTCTTATTCTAAAGAAATATAATAATTTTTGAATAGTGAATAAAAGTGAGGAAAAAAAACACATTTTAAAAGTTGTTACTTTGTATATTTTGTAGCATTGTTTCTGGGTTTTGTAAGAAGGTCCCTGGTCAGAGCTAATGCTGTTTGGGGGCTCATGGTATAAAAAGGTTTTAGAACCCCACATCTAGAATTTAATTACAATTAGACGAAGCAGATTTTATGTTAAAATGACCTGCCATACATMTAGACTGAGTGACTGAGCACATGCCACTGTGCTGATGCATTACCCAAGCGAAAGAAAAAGTAGTTCCTTCCAACCACGTATGATTTAAACAAGATTTGAACAGCTTAGTTATTTTCCACTATTTTCCTGTCACTGATGTACATTATGTGAAATACCTGAAGTATCAAAATATCAATATTTTGATTTTAGTATCGATTCTAGAGCATAAAGTTATGGTATCGGTAGTATCGATATTTCAGCATCGATTTGCACATCACTAACGCTCAGATTATGTGTCGGGAACAACTCTCAGCTACTACCACTCCGAATTTCAACTCAGTATCTGTAAAACTGACTGAGCTGTAGCCATTTTTGTGTTTGTTTAAATCAGCCAACTGTGGCCTTCATGTTGAATCGGTTCGACTCCTACCTAAAGTCAGTTACAGACGTGTATCTACTGACGCGTCCTGCGAGGTTCAACAAAACGCGCTCGCTGGTTCACGAGATATTTTGCTAACAGATGGGCACATGAACACGGACCTTCCCAGGGCAGGTTGTGAAAGAATTCCAAATATGCAACAAAAACAGAAGCGTCTTTTTCTGGTTTAGCACATTAGCAATAAAAATCTTTTGTGATGAAATGAAATCTTTTGATCTCAGAAGCTGCTGTTTCAGCAGAATGCTGCCTGGCCTCGTTTCATTGCTTCAGTGATGGATGAATGAAAACGCTGCACCGCTGAGCTGCTCTGCACACAGCAGATAAGCCCCTCCCCCCCTCTGTCAGAAGCTTATTGTTGGCTTTAGGGTCTCAGCTGCAGCGTGGAGCAGAGTGGCGCAGCGGAAGCGTGCTGGGCCCATAACCCAGAGGTCGATGGATCGAAACCATCCTCTGCTATGAACATTTTTAATAAGCATTTATTTAAGTCAACATTGAATTCAGACTGAAGTGTCAAACTGCTTTAGTGCTTAAATAAATAAAGACAGAGATGGATACAAGTATTTCTTTGAGCGTTACATTCACAAAATGAACAGAAGCTCACTTAAGGGGATTGAGATGTTTGTGAAATTTAAATTTTGAACCAGTTTGAGGGAACGATGTATGTCAATTCAGGGAATAAGATTATGGAATAATCTGGAAAGTGCTGTAAAAATGCCAGATCAACGTTTATGTTTAAAGTGCCTGTGACATGCCTATCATTCAAATACAAAAAGTCAAAGAAAGCATCTTTATACTTAAGAAAATTGGCATAGTACACATGATTTTACCCATTTTGTCACATAACTGGCCTATTTTCTTTTTAATTTGGTTCAGCCAAAGTGAAACAGGAAGTGACATCAAAGGGGAACTCATTTATAAAATAAACTCACTGGTCTTTGTTTATTAAAACAAAATTATTTAAACTTTAACTTTTCTTCGTCTCTCTTTGATAGCGACCAAAAATTATCTAAAGAAACATCAGATTCTTCTCTACAGTCTGTGTTGTTAGCTTTCGTAACAATGCTCTGTTTACATGCAGACATTCCCCTTTGACATCACTTCCTGTTTCTTCACATGTAAATATCTCAACAACCGTTCATCTCAGCGACATGAAATTTGTTTTGCAACATGTTATTGTTATCTTTCCAAAAATGCATTCATGTTTATTACAAAATTGATGTCGCAGGCACTTTAAGAGACTGATTAAAATTGGTTTACTGAAGAAATACGAAAAATAATGTGTATTCATGCAAATTTTTGTTTGAGAATTATTATTGTTGATGTTTTTGTTTTGTTTATTTTATTTTCTTAAAAAGCAGCAGACATAAGATTTTTTTCTACTTTCTGCTGCCTTTCATTTTATTTTTAATTTGTATTTTTTGTATGTAAAATTTGCTTCGTTTTTAAATGAAATGAAATGAATAAACTCTTTTAAAAAGTCCATTTATCTTTTTTATTTTAGTTTTTTTAATTAAATAAAACGGTGGAATTTATTGTTTGGTTCTGTATGTATGAGAATAATTTAACCTGGTTAAGATCAGATTATTTTTTATAAAGTCTGAAAGATACTTTTATTGATTCTTAACTGCACATTCATAATTTTATTATTTATAATGAAAAAAATGTCTCAATCAATGCACTATCATTTTCCCACTGTCTTACATTAAAACCAAACAACCAAACTTCCTGTCAGAGAACTGAGTCGTGAGACTTCAAAGCTGGTTCTGGCTGAACGGTCCAACGCTTTGATGTTCCTGAACCTTTTACCTGATCGGGCTGCGAGTCCGGTCTGTGCACACAGGGCACCGTGAGGAGCTTGACGCTGTCACGGTAGTGTTGATGCTGCCGGCGCCAGTCCAGACAGTCGTAGATGAGATTGGCCACGCCCTCGAAGATCCGGCTTCCCAGCTCCAGCTGTAAACATCAAACGCAGGAAAATCAGCTGACATAGACAGAAAATATATCATGACCCGTGTCGTGATACGTCTCATTGTTACATTTCCTACCAATACACAACTAGGCCTGTCACGATAAAAAATTTTGCTGGGCGATTAATTGTCTCACAAATTATTGCGATAAGCGATAATATTGCCTGGTTACCATTTTACAACTAATAATTATAAAAGCGTAATGTGTAAGTGTAATAAATCAATAAACTTTAATTTTTAAAGAATGTTTAACAAAGTGGACTCTCAGTCTCTAAAAAAAATGCACTTGAATAAAAAAAACAAAGAACAACAAAATGTAAATTAAACCCCACACACAACTAAGACAGTAAATAAACAATATTAAAGAGCAGCATCTCTTTAGAGATGAAGCAAACTACACAGCCTGGTGAGGACCCACTGTTTCTTATGGAGACAAAAGCCCAGTTCACATCCTATATAAAGTTTAAGGCTAGGTTTAGGGTCAAATGGTAATAGAAAATACTGGTAAATGAATGAAAGTCAATGTAAAGTCCCCATGAGGATAGAAGAACAAACGTGTCTATGTGTGTGTGTGAGGAGGAGACAAGCAGAGTGCTGCGGGGAGGAAATCAGACAGTTCAGAGTTTTCCTCATGAGTTGTTGGGACAGCTACAGGTTTTTTGTGGTGTTTTGTTAAAACACAGATGGTGCGTTTAAGTTTCCTGTTATTTTTGGAAGCTACAGGTAAAGTCTTGACGAGTTTGTCGCGGGTCTGGGGGAGTTTCAGCCCCCACCCCTTCTCCTCCTCCTCCTCCTCTCTCTGTGTCTCCCCGCAGCAAATTTCAGGCTCTAGTGCTCCGACACTGCAGCAGCCACGTTCTGCTTTGAAACGTTTCTTTAGTTTGTTATTGCTACGAGCTCTCACGCTAAAGCGAGAGTTGACTCCTCCCACACTAAGAAAACAGGAGGGGAGGGGTCAGCTGAGCTCCTGTGTAGCGGAGCACAGAGAGGGAGAGAGACGAAGTAAACAAACAAGCAGGAAAATGAAACTTATCGTCCTCATTTTTTTTACCGACCTCAAAATAACTTATCGTGCAATTAATTGATTTATTGACTATCACAACAGGCCTATACACAACTCTAAGTGAGTGACCAAACATTAAGAAGTTAGAATCAGCAGGAAAAGTGACATGATTGATTAGATACCAGCTAAAAGAAGAGGCCATCCTTTCCTTCTTACCTCAGCCTCAGGGCGATTGGTTTGGATAGGCAGTGTGACGTCTGGGACCGTGTGGCTGAGCAGGACCACATCGTGGAGCTTGGATTCTGGTGGACCGCCGTCTAAAACTGGTCTCAGGTCTGTCCAGAACTCACGGAGCCTCTTCGCCTTTAAAGAAAGCTCTGAAAACCAGAGTGAACCGATAACGAAGCATCAACAACATCAAGATCTGATCAGGTTAAAACAGTAAATTAACTAGAGAAACTGCTTGAAAACTTTAGCTGAAATGGAGCTGAAAATGATAAAAGCAAAACAGTTAATCAGAGTTCAATTTGAAAAGCGTAACGAAGCATAAAAACTTAGCAGAAAAATAGCTGAAAGGAGCAGAAAGATATCTAAAAAAACAAACAAAAGCTAAAATTAGCTTAAAAACGTAGCAGAAACAAGTTGAAATTAGCACCCAGATGGTAAAAGGGGTATAAAAAAAGTCAAATTAGAAGAAAAAAACAGCATAAAAAGTACAAAAGAGCAACTATTTGTTGTAAAATAGCTGAAACAGCCTAAATATGCAGTAAAACAGCTAAAATGTGGCTGAAAATTCCTAAATTAGCATAAGAAGTCATAAGGAGCACAAGTTTGCTGAGAAGATGAAGTTGCCAACAAAAAATGTGAATTTAGCTCAAAAAAAGCTAATTTTACCTAATAACAGCTGAACATTGGCTAAAATTGCATCAAATAGCTGAACATAGCAGAAAGCAACTGTAAAAAGGAGAAATAGCTCAAATTAGAAGAAAAAAGTACAAAAATAAGAAAAGAGCAGAAGATTAAACAGAAAGAAACAGAATTATAGCTAAAATAGCAGAAAAAGCTAATATTAGCAAACAATTAGAGGCTAAAATTAGCAGGAAAAAAGTAAAAAGAGCAGAACCACAACAAAAGGTGGAAGGTTCTGTAAAGATTTAGGGATATTTTGAAGGATTTTAAGGATGTTGAAAACAGCTCCAATAATTTTCAATAAGAAAAATGTGGCCAAAAAAGTCAAAAAGCTAAAAAAGTAAAAAAGTAAATAGCTGAAATACCAAAAGTCATAGCTGGAATGTCCTGAAGGAGATAAACATTTTGATATATGAACTGTTAAAATAGCAAAGAATTGTGGAACGAGATACGTGCCAAAAAACAACAACAGTGTGAACTCTTGTGAAGTGTTTAGACAATAAATAACTCTGTGTTGTGAAGAATCCTAACCTGCGTCTGAAACTGAAGCAGCTTTCAGGCTCGGTCCAGTCTCCTCACAGCTGCTCAGCTCCTGATCCTCCGCAGAGGCTTGGCTTTGCTCCGAGCACACTTTGATGACGGTGGACAGGTGCACGCCGATGGCGTCCAGCAGCCCAATCAGCTGCGGCTGGTCGAAGCCCACCAACAGGACGTAGTGCTGAGGACCGTCCTCCGGCTCGTCATCTGAGGAGGCAAACTAAAGCTTTTATTTTTGTAAATGAGACATAAAATGCAACTGAAGGGGATCACGTAAAAAGTGCCGAAAAGGACTGAAAAAAAAAAAAAAGATCCTAAAATGAAACTGGAGGCTGTTTGGAGTACGAACAAGAACTTCAGGCCTTCGGGTTCTGCAGAATCCTGCTCCTTGTTCATTTAAACCAGACAAGTCGAAGCAGAGGAACCTCCCAGTTTAGATACTTAYGTAAACACACTGGAACCAAGTTTTACTCAGTCAAACGATCAAAAATAAAAACAATCCTTGGACAAGAGAAAACGTATATAAGTCAGAAGTAAAACTTCATTAACACTAGGGCTGCCACGATTAATCGATTAATCGACGACTAATCGATTAATAAAATAATCGATGACTAATTTAATAATCGATTAATCGTTTTCTTTTTTTGTTGTTGTT